AATTAGATTTGTAAGATGCATTATTAGAAGAGAGCTAGTTTGGTGTAGTGGTGAAAGCACCAAGCTAGAAACCGGAAGATTGGGTGTACTTAGGCCAGTCATACTCTCTCAGCCCCAGACAGGAGGCAATGGCAAACCAATTCTGGAAAACTTCGCCACCTTTGCTTGGAGTCAAAAACTGACCCAAAGGCACACACACATATGTACAGACACACAAAGCATGATTAAATGCAGACTTTCCCAACACTTCTGATCCAGAAGTGTTCAGCCACAATTTCCATCATCTTGGCTTAGTGGTTCAGATAGTATATCTGAAACACACTAAGTTGGAGAATACTTCATGATAGAATGACACTGGAAATCCAGTCTCAGTCCCCCCCAAAATATAAAAATTGGGACATGCAAACATTAGTTTGTAGGTGATGTAGAATTAATGTTATCTTTCCACTTATTTTGAATTCTGTAGTGTTTTGGTGTAACTGAGTCAGATTTTCTTAACCTTTTTAGACGAGGATTTTTTAAAAATCAATGACATCCCAATAGATCATAATCTTTTTGGCCAAACCTTTGTGATAACAAGAGATGGACATTTTTTCCTCTAAGGAAAAGGAAGAACTCATGTAAGTCCCTGACCTGGTTGTACTCCAGCCTCATTAATCAAAAGACACAATATTTTATTAGTATTCAACTTAGGATGAATCCTGCAGAGTGAAATCTGCATCCCAGAGCAACCCAGTGCCATGCATGTTAACCCCAAATCAAATCAGCTGTAATCGGTTTACAACCTTACACCTTGGTAAAAGCTGCAGGATAATTAAACCCAGCATCTTATTTCGATAAGAATGAACTTATTGTTTGATCTGTTATATCGTTTTGCATTTGCTAGCTTTTGAGATTGGGTGAGTTATCCCAAATATCTACAAGGCACCTGCTTTGGTCTTGATGATTCTACTCTCGATCTGCTCCAAGTTTATAACTAACCCAGTGTTCCTCTATCTGGTGTCTTCCAGATTCATTGGACTTCAGCTCTTTGGAGATGCTGAAGTCCAGCATATGTGGAAGAAAGTAGGTTGAAGAAAGCTGCAGTAGCTGAATATTTCAAGGCAGGGAAGAAATAAACAATGTCTTCCTTCTTGTCTTCCTTGTAGCTGATGTTGGTCTTTTTTTCTTCTTCTTTTTGTCTCTCTTTTTCACTCTTCACCCCAACTAGCAGAGAGAATTCAACAGCATGCAAGACCGGGTGATGCTTTTAGCAGACAGCTCTGAAGATGAATTTTGAATCCGGCTGCAAAGCTACATCATGTTCTCCAGTGACTTACTTTGTTTGCAAAGGGAGGTTTGCAAGTTTTAAAAAAGGTCTTTCTGCTGCATCCCAGCGGCCTGCCCCTGTTGTGCGTTCACATGGCTGTGTTGCTTTACACAACCGGTCCCCAAAAGGAGAAACACACATGGCCAAACACATCCCACTCACTGCATGTTGCAGCCTTTAAAAAAAAACAACCACCATGCATTTGTGCAACTTCATTTCCATTGCACTGCATGTTTTTAAGGATGAAACTAACAAAGACTCCACTAAGAGTGGGGGACAAGGCAGGCTGAATGATAATAATGGTCCTAAAGTTTTAATTTTCATTTTGATGGTAGCAGTCAAAATGTCATCCTTTCCCATATTGTCTTGGGGAGGAGGATTTTTTTAACCCAAATAATGCCTGTCAATCTCCCACTAGGATGCCTCTTCTAAGATGTGGGATTTCCTGAGCTGAAGTTCATGGTTTTGAAAATAATTGGCTGTGTTTAATTAACAAAGGGGTCATCTAGAAGCAGTCCACCTCATAAACAGGATAGTAACTATGTAGGTAGAATACAATGAACAAGCACGTCATGTATATATAGTGTATTATGCTTAGGGCCAAACTAGATAGTTACATACCCAAGAGACATGTGCTTTGTTTTGTTCATTGTGAAACAAGTGGGAGTGGAAGAACAGTGGGGAGAGGGAAGGAGAGTGCTTTCATGAGCTCAGTGGGGGACCCATAAAGATCAAAGTACTAAGCAATTGTGACATATGCATGGCATACTTCACATGACTATTTACTCAGCTCCCACAGCTAAAAGCCTCTCTACTGTCTGCAATGTTCCCAAATTGATATGGAAGTGGTCTATGTACATTTGATCTGGGAGAGATCATTACTTGGTGCTGTAGTCATCAAATGATGGCAATGAGCCAGTGGTAAATGCAGGTAAATGTGTGACAGTGGTGCCCAAATTCCTGACACCTTGAGGCAAAGCACTTTTTGATCTGGGTTAAAATTTAGAGTATACTTTTTGTGCACTCAGAGAAAAGCCAAGAGCTCAGGCGCATGTTCTTTTGCAGCTGCTTGGGTATTGAGCAAAGTTATTCAGCCCTATTTATCTATTTGGAAAATGTATATAGCTGCGTGGAGTCACCTGTGAGTGAGCGGGTAGCAATATAAAATTTCCAAATAAAATAAATAAATAAGACTGACAGTTCCGTATACATCTTTGCTTCCATAAAGCACCCTGCCCAATTTCACTTCCTTTTCATTTAGCACTTCCAGTGAAGGCTGGCATTCTGTGGAACCACCCTCTAGCGTTCTATTTTTTTACAAAAATAACTCTAGATTCAATAGATATTTTCATTTCTGTTCTTGGAAAATAAACATGGTGGCCGCATGTCATTTCTTTTTCTTTCTTTTTTGGAAAAAAATGTATCTATTGGCTTAGGAAAGAAAAGATCCAATTGGGCACCACATTTTGTGGAGCATAATAAGAACTATCCTCATTGGCCGTGTCCACAGCAGAAGCTGTTTTGAAAATAGGCGAGCCTCTAGTAGCCATTTCAAGGGAGCTCCCTCCAAGATGTTCAGAATTCCAAATATGCAAACTAGCCAACACATTGCCTAACCTAGTCTGATTTATCGGATCCTCTCCACTTGAGTCAGATAATCATTCCCATTCTTCCTAGTCAATAGGGATGATAGGAATATTTCTATACAATCTGGAAGGAGTTAGAAGTGGGGAAGGCTGGTCTAATTAATTGTTCAACTTCCTTGGGAATAAAAATGTGCTTCTGACTTGGAGTTTTTCCAACACCAGTTAACTCAACTAGTAAAGAGCTCTTGTCTTGCTTTCTATTAAAAGACAAGAGGCGTGTATTAAGCTAGACCTTTGGTTACTACTCCCAATTATTATCCACCCTAAGCTACTACAACTGTTAGGGGTTTCAGGAAGAGGTCACACTCAGCAATATTGGCTAAAGCCAGAATTTCTGCATACTAAACAAACAATCTTCTGCTGAGTTCTGGCCTTTTTTTTTTTTTTTCAAAAGATAGAGAATGAAATGAAAGCTATAACAAGAGATCTTTAGCTTTATTAACAATTAAGTGATTGTCGTTTCTGATATACTCTAACTTAATTTTACCAAAATGCTTTGCCTCTTTGGCGCCAATGTTTTGGGAATCATTGTCTCATCACTTTACCTGAGGGAAGTATGTGTAAATACATCCTCTATGTAGGCCTTCAATTTGATCTTCCAAAATGTTTTGGAGGATATTTCTTTAATGACCCTCCTTAGGGTTATGTGAAGGTGAGAAAAAAGGAGGACAGTTCAGAGTAACAGTACACCACAAAGTAAATAACAGGTAAGCAGGAAAGAAGTACGAAAACAGTTGATATGTCTCTAATTTCAGGCTTCTAGTCCATAGAGAGTGATTTGTTATCTTAAGGATATTAAACACTATTTTTGTAGAAAACACACACACACACACACACACACACACACACACACACACACACACACACTACATAAACAAGAAATGTCTTAATAAGAATGGCTTCCTAGCATAGTATCCCAAAACTGTAGACAAGGGGGTCCTAAGACTTCCAGCCAATTGTAAACAAAGCAATATGGCTGCAAGGAACAGCAAACTGGGACCATGGATGCCCAAACCAGAAGCTCCCAAGACCAATGACTGCCAACAAGGGCTACAATGTGATGTGTAGCACATAATATGTTGGGCTGCCTTTTTTGATCTGGCAAGGGCTGAAGGCCATAGCATGAAGTTGAGATGATAGAGATGACAAAGATGATTCAGAAGCAACAGAATGGATGAGGTGCTCTAGACCAGGGGTGTCAAACTCAAAGCCAGTGGACTGGATCTGGCCTGTGGGGCGCTTAGATCTGGCCCACAGGGCCACTCTGGAAACAGTGAAGGACCAGCCCGCGGTGCCTCTGCCAGTGAAAATGGAGCTCAGGAGGGCCGCACACTCTTTCTGAGATCCATTTTTGCTAGCAGAAGGCTGCAGGAGGCCGTCGCAACTGAAAACAGAGCTCAGGGGGAGCATGCAACCCTTACGAGCTCCTTTTTCGCTGGGAGAGGGCTGGAGGCAGACACGGCTAAAAACAGAGCTCAGGAGGCATGTGGCCCTTCTGAGCTCTGTTTTTACTGGCAGAGGGCGGCAGGAGGCCGTTGTCCCCCTAGTCTTGCCCAGGCCACCACAGGTGCCCCTGACATGAGTGACATCAAGCTGGCCAGGCTCACCCATTCCCCGAAGTCAAATATAACTCTGATGCAGCCCTCAGTAAAATTGAGTTTGACATCACTGCTCTAGACTAAAGATGAAAGATCATATTTTGGATGCTTCCAATTCTCCCCCTCCCCCCAACTCTAATAAAACCATAAATTCACGGAATCGAAACTTCTATCCTCGATCTGTCAAGGTAACTTTTTTTCAAGAATGCCCATAAAATAAAATAGAGACACTCTTTGCCTCCTCCTCTCCATGCCTGCCAGTTCAGGCAAGCCCTCTCTGTATCTTCTAGTGCATGTTCTCCTCCCACCCAATGGCTCACTACAGCAGAGTCGAAGCAGCCAGTCCAAGAAGAACAGTTCTGCCCCTTGCAGTTTCTCTAATGGCTCTTTTTGCTGGATCAGCTATGGCAGGCCCCAAATGTCACAGGCCAGAGCTTGGGACTGATCCCCCTCTTCCTGATTCACCCCCAGAAGGCATAGAATGTCTCAAAATGCAGGGCATTCCAATAGGAAAGGGAGTGATACTAGATGCCAAGCGTAAGAGTTTGGATGTTTAACTCAGCTTTGATTGCTTTAGCCAGCAAGAGGTCCCTTGAGCCCTTAACTAGAGCCCAAGGATAGACGGGGCTTTAGTTAAGGCAGGGATAGAAACCGAGCCCCATTACATGCCAGGCGATTTCTCTTCCATGCAGGCTCAGTCTTCCTGCATCTCACAACACAAAAAGCTGGCTAAAACTGGAATTGCTTTTGAATTTGGGAAAGATACCCCTGCAGATTTCAGGGCTCGAAGAGAAATATTTTGCGTTTGTCTTGTTAGCATTCTAACCTGTGTAGAACTGGATTCTGAAAAGAAGCAACTAGGAAGAGGAATATAGTGCAAAGTAGATAGAGGGTAGAGCTTGAGGTGCATCTCAGGACTCCTAGTCCTGCATTCTAGTTATAGACCAGCCTTCCACAACCTGGAACCCTCTGGATGTGTAAATGTGTTGGTTGGGATGAAGAGTGGTAGTCCAAAATCCGAGCTGTCCAGTGGAAGCTATGGCGATGTCACGATGTGCCTAAACAGTTGGAGTGTACCAGGTTGGGGAATGCCGCTTAGGGCCTTTGGTGAGTCACTTTGGTCAACCCAATTCTTCATCTTTTGGGTAGGAATAAGAGACCTACCTCACAGGGTTGTTGTGAGGGCAAGCCAATAAAGTTTTGAAGCACTTGGCCATTAAATGTGTCCTGTCAGAAATATGTGTGCATAAAGAAAACAAAACAGTGTTGCTTGTTAAAAAAAAAAACCTATCCAGCAGCCATGTGGGCATAAATGATTAGCGGCAGATAAAAAATGTAGGAAAGATAAAAAAAAAATGGGCTTCTTTTCCTGGGAACATTTGATTTATCACGGCCTTGTCTGAGGAACACATTAATGAACAAGTGATTAGTTCTGGGTGATGATTTTCTGATTTTCTGCACTTTGGCTCTGCACTTTGGCTTGCTATGAAGTTCTCCTAATTGGAAGAAAAGACGTCTGGAAATACCTTTGCTTTTAACGACCAAAAGAGAATCAGGTTCCCTCCTGGCTACTCTTAAAACACTGTGGTGCCATTTTTCGGCCCCTCTGGATGATGGACATCCAGGCTTTCATAATGACCACAGCTGGACTGTTTGGGGAAGAGGCAATCCCAGGGGATCAAACTTTGTTTTTGCTAGAGGTGGCTGGCAGAGCAAAGCTGAAAGCAGCAGGGAAAGGTATTCATCTTGGCTTCAGAGAGCAAGGAGTAAAGGATAAAGGAGGGAAGTTTTCAAGTGCAAGGAATGTTTGTTTAAGGAAAGCTGTACTTAAACACGTGCGGCATAAAATGCATCTTTAAATCTCATATATTGGCAGGATGCATGTACAGTGATTAGAGTTGCAGCAGCAGAAAGCGAGGATGAAAATCTAATCTTAAATCACTGCCTGCTGTGAATATATGTCATTTAGAGTTGAGCTGCAAGAGTCTTGGTGATCTGATCTTCTTTGTTTTCTTGCACACATTTCATTACCGGACTAGGTAACATTGTCGGTGCTAGTGAGTGTGGGGGGTTTGCTCTTTGTTTCCATACAGGAGCGTGTCCTGTCAGTGCTGGTGGGGATGTGGTCTTCTCCTTGGTAGTTCCTTGAATAGGATACCTGCGTAATACCTTAGAAAAGCTTAACAATAGTGCATCCTAACAATATTATAAATAGAGGAATTACTAAGTAAGAGCCGAGGTGGCGCAGTGGTTAAATGCAGCACTGCAGGCTACTTCAGCTGACTGCAGTTCTGCAGTTC